CTAGCAGGGACTGAAAAGGTTCTCATGAACTAAATTCTAGTTCCGGATTTTTTGGGTGTGAACGCACATTTTCGGAACTATATCGGAACTATACTGGGAAAAGTACTCCGGTGTGAAAGCGCCTATTGGGCCCAGAAAGACTTTTCCCGATTGACTAACATTAGGAAAGAAACATCTGTAAATCAGCGGATATTTTTTTTTAACTAAATAAACTACCCAGTATGAACTATTTTATAGCCCTTATTAGAATAATTCGGTCCTTAAAGTTGTAAAATACACTAAAAGCCAAATCTAGATCAATTTTCTTTCTCCATTCATTCTACTGAGCCGAGAGTGGGAGCTCGGGGGGCGGGGCTTAAGGGGCGCATGCTCTGTGAGCGCACAGGTTCTTCTGCTCTGGAAGCTAGGCATGATGGGTAATCTGTGACGTTTCGCTCTCTCAAAAGTTGGGCCATTTTGTCCTCATGCGCCAATGAGCAGCTCTCATAGGAAAGAACGAGACCCAGCCTCCCACGCTGTATCCAGTTCTTATTATACATCCATGCTTCATTTGCGTAATCCTCCCTCAGGGACTTATTCCGGTGTGAACGCGATCTGCTCTTTAGTTCCGGGATGAACCGATGAACTAAGTACTGGGAACTAAGTACGACAAAGTACTTGGTGTGAAAGCGCTATGAGAACAAATACTGAAAATACTCCAAGAATAAAGGGATAGGATCTTGGGAAAACGTGGTGTTTTTTGTTGTCAAGGAACCACTTCAGGAGGTTGGATCAAAGTCATCTTCCCAAAGTTGCTGTTGCTTGTCACCACCGTTATGTGTAATTATTATCCTCAAAATCAGACCTATAATAATCAGTGTTTGATTGGCTGACCTTTCCTGTGGACCACCAGAGACTCCACCAGCACGTGGAGCTTCCTGAAGTGCTGATCTGAAGACTCCACCTCCTGCAGCTTCTCCTCAAACCACTGCAGGAAAACACGTCATTTATTACTATTTCTGTAACTATATCTCTTAAATCCATTTCAAATCTATAATAACTTCTGCTGTTTTCACTTTCTACACTTCATCTGTGAGGCATTTGGAACTGCATATACCTGTACCAAAGGTGTCATACAAATACACTTGGATTGATTAATGATTGAAATAACATGTACATTTTTAAACATGAAGTTACACCGAGTCAAACAACTTGAACAGTTATTCAATCACATCTTTGTACGAGAATTGAACTACAATATTTTCCAACACGTTTTTGGTTACTAAGGTGAAATAATTACAAGTAAGCGAATGATATATTAAAATCCAAAATCGACTTCATTGCTTTTCTAGATTCATAAACACTGATCCTACATGTATTTATATGACGACTATTTAGAGCTTTCATAGAAAAGTATTTAGCTTAAAACAAACTGGAAAGCTTTTGCGTGTGTGTGTGTGTGTGTGTGTGTGTGTGTGTGTGTGTGTGTGTGTGTGTGTGTGTGTGTGTGTGTGTGTGTGTGTGTGTGTGTGTGGTTCTTTGAGCTCAGATCAAGAGGAAATCCGTGTCACAGCTCAGTTTCTATATAGACAAACGGATTGCTAATCAGTGTGACTGTGCTGACAACAATAGTGAACTGTTAGATAGTTAAAACTGTTATCTTGCACTTAAGCAAACACACTGGACACACAGAAGTGAATCAATAGAACCAGATCAGTTACAAACCCATGTTTCCCTTGGTGCAGATTCACCTCAGAACACATTCAGGTTGAATTATGAAACTCAAACAGTAAAAAAAAAAAACTCATGTCAAACCACTTGAAAATAACTCCCTAATCTGTCGGCCCAGTGCCGTCAGACTTGAACTGGGAGCTGGAAATGTTCTGCTTTTTACTGGAAAATACAAATCTGCTGTTCAAAACAGTTGTGATTCTGAAGAAGCCCTGAGTGTCTGTTTACATGTGGACTCACCACGTCTGACTCATTCATCTTGATGGTCATTTTACTGACAGCATCTGTTGCTTTGTTGATCATTTTCAGGAAGCCGGCGCCACTCAGAGCCTGGGTGCTCGTTGCTCTGGGCAACTGGAGACACAGACACACAGTTATTAAATATTTAAAAACGCAATAAAACTTCAGATAAACAAATGGATTAAGATGTATAACACATCCCTCGATGATGTATAGATTGTTGAATCGGAAAGTTACGACATGCTAAAAGTTAAGCACAGACAGGTTCATGGGCTTTGAGAGAACAGTATTTAACATGTTTGTCTTTAGAGAATCCTCAAATGCGTCTCACCTCATCTCTCTCCAGAAACTCTCTGACATCAGGATCCTGGAGGAGTGACGGGTGATTTACCACCCTCTGGAGATACCTGGTGAAGAGGACAAATGGAAGTAAAACTCACTTTCATGCTTTTTGTGAGCATAACAGCTTCACTGTTTAATAAAGATGTAATGAACCGAAGGGCGGGACTACTTACAGCTCGGTAACACAATTCATTTTCATTCTTCCTGTCTTACCTCTCCAGAGCAGCTCTTCTTCTCTCCACAAAGTCTGCTGCGGAAGAATCATCCTTTCCCACCTTCACCTTTGTCATTCCTGTAAGAGAACATCCCTTCTTACAGCTGCTGGAAAGTTTATTCACAGTTACACTATTAAGAGGAAACGGAAAAGTCAGCCTACCCAGGATGCTCTTCTCTGGAGGCGGAGGCACGATGAATCCATTTGGTCCATGTTTTTCAGAAAGCTTCTCGTAGAGGCCGAGGAAGTCGCTGAAGCGTCGCCTCACGGCGAACGCCTTGTTGCGGAACATCGGCATTTGGGTCTGAAACATGTTTTCATATTATTATTATTATTATTATTATTATTATTATTATTATTATTATTATTATTACTACTACTCAGGGTGTATGCAGGAATCCTGAAGTCAGATGTAATTCCTTTGAAGACCTTTTTTAAGACCCTTTCCATACATTTTAAGACCTCATCGCCACTTGGAGTTTTAACCGGTTACCTTGACGACACACTTTACCTCACATTTATGATTGTCCTTCCTCCTTATCTTCCGACCATTTGGACGCAAACTTGCATTTCCCCATAACGATGTGTTTAACAACCTGCGTAAACGGACCTTCGCACGCTATCAAGCAGTGAGCGTGCGATGTCCTGTTCAGATGACGTCAAATCCAACGGGATGCCATAAATAAACTACACAGAATCACACTACACACCTACGCAATGATTACATTCAGGCAGACTGTAGAATACAACCTCTTTGGACAATTTATATACTTATTGAAAACAAGCTACAAAATGTAATACCTTGGAAAATGCCGTTTAATACTTTTTAATAGCCTTCATTTTTGCTAAATTGATTGATCAACTTTTAATACTTTTTAAGACTCCGCGGACACCCTGCTACTATATATATTTATTTATATATAGTAGCCGGCATATGTGTCCAGTTAGTACAAGTAGTACTTCTATTTGTCGCAGGTTGTCAGAAGAGCAATACATCAGCGACAAGGATTTTTTGTACAATACAATAAAAGCAGGATCTAGTAGTGCAGATTAAACATGTAGTGTGAGTTAACACAATTATGCAGTGTCTGGTCGGATGCACGAGGAGAAGAATCTGTGTAAAGGACATTGTTACAGCCTCAAATTTCCAGACAGCAATAAGATACTTGGTAACTGACATCCACAATCTTTTTCATACCACCTCTACTCCTTAATATCTGGATAAACTAAGAATTCTAGACAGATGGAGTGCTGGGCTCCTTCCCCAGGTCTTGGGTAGACTTTATAGACTTCCTTTATGTGGCCCCCTGTTCAGTGGGGACAGCGGTATTTGAACTGAGATCAGCCCCGACATGGCTTGAGTAATGGCACCTTGCTTTGGAAAGGAAACTCATAAAGTCTCCTATATACGGCACCTTCTATCTCTATACACTCCATATCTACCCCTTTGGAATACAAAGTGAGACGCATTGTGCCACAGTTCCTGCTGTCACTGAATTATACAAAATGATAGAAAGCAAAAATGACATATATTTATAAACCAGAGGCTGTTTTGTATCTTCTTCTCGGGTGCTGTTATCATCTTCCACCATATATTCTCTGTATGTGTACACATGACATATTCAGCTGTCTCACCACCACTGAGGGGGAATGCATTGAAGCAATTGACAGCTCACTGATTTGTTTCTTAAAAATACATGTTTCTCTGCTGTGATTTCGTATACCCCTGTTGCTGTAGGTGAGCATACGAGGCTTTCAATCCTTCACATCAAGAGACATCTCAATAACACAGGACCTTAAATGGATCTTTGGCTGGTTGGCTACCTTTGACGCATAGCCCAGGAATAAGACACATGATATAGAGTAGCTGTGCGTTGACATGCTTTATTTTAGGATATTACATTAGGGGAATAGCGATTTCTTCTAAATGCTGTCCCTATAGGGGAAAAGTGAATTATTATCCACTCCATTGAAACAGACTCATTGCTGCTGCAATAATAATCTTCCAATGTCACCTTGCCTTGTCGAGCTATAAATATACAGTAGGAAGCTGCTATCATCTGCGCTGTCTGTTGACTGATAGTCAGGTAGCACAAACTGCTTTTGGCTTTATCGGAGATAATCTAGAGGTGCAAAAAGGAAATGACTGTACAGAACACCCACATACGTTCATCTCTGCAATGATATCATCTGGATGAGTTCATAAGGTTTTGTGCTGCAATCAGAGGTGGCAGAAGTACTCAGATCTTGTATTTGAGTAAACGTATAAGTATATTTCAAAAGGTTACTCAAGTAAAAAAGTATTGGCATCAAAATATACTTAAAGGTGGGGAAGGTCATTTTGGAGAAACCAGCTCGAGTGCGCTAGAATTTGAAAATACACAGACGGAAAAAATCTGCAACTTCCTTACAGAGCCCCTCCTCCAACACACATGAACGCGCACATGACCAATGAGGGCACGAGATAAGTTTGTGCACAGATGGAAGGCTGACAGGCAGGTAGGCAATCCAGTTATTTTAGCCGGGCCGGCTCAGATGATTGGTCGTGCTTTTTAGAGCGCCACGGCTTCCACAGAAGATATTTTTTTATGNCAGTGAGCGTGAGATGTCCTGTTCAGATGACGTCAAATCCAACGGGATGCCATAAATAAACTACACAGAATCACACTACACACCTACGCCATGATTACATTCAGGCACACTGTAGAACACAACCTCTTTGGACAATTGATATACTTATTGAAAACAAGCTACAAAATGTAATACCTTGGAAAATGCCGTCTAATACTTTTTGATAGCCTTAATTTTTGCTAAATTGATTTATCAACTTTTAATACTTTTTAAGACCCCGCGGACAGGCACCCTATAGGATTTACATCAGGTGGACATTTTCCAATTATAAATCACTTCTACAAAAAACATATTTACTATGTCAAGCAAATATTACAAATATTGTAGGAGCCATTTTGTGAAATGTTACCCCACTCAATAAGGCAGAGAGTCAAGTTTTATCTTCGAAGGCCGTTAGATTTATTTGCCATTTAGCTAATTTTCTATACAGATTTATAGCTGCAGATAGTCCCATTCACTTCCAGACATACACTCGCTCTCCACATATACATGCTACAACCGTACCCTCCCTCCCTCCCTCCCTCTCTCTCTCTCTTTAAAGGGATAAGCGCCCTTACTTTGCCAGACCCTATTGTTTTAACACTTTTTTCCCCCTTATTTTACCATAAACGAAAAACGCATGGATTTTGGACAAAACTTTGTGCTTAAAACTTTGGAAAAGGGTCAGTCTTTCAATGTTTGTGGCTATCTATTTAAATAAACCCATAAACAGATGAATTTATAATAAAACGATTTCATTCGTAAAGCTTTAATCTTTCAGGACATGTAACAAATATTTCATACGTCTATCCTTAAGTATTTCTGAATAAGCTATAAAAATCATTTTAACATAAATTTGAAATATTCTGTAACATAGCGAGTCAAAAACAGATTTATAGCTGCAGATAGTCCCATTCACTTCCAGGCATACACTCGCTCTCCACATATACATGCTACAAACGTACCCTCCCTCTCTCTCTCTCTTAAAGGGATAGGCGCCCTTACTTTGCCAGACCCTATTGTTTTAACACTTTTTTCCCCCCTTAGTTTCCCTTAGTCCCATTCACTTCCAGACACACTACACACCTACGCAATGATTACATTCAGGCAGACTGTAGAATACAACCTCTTTGGACAATTTATATACTTATTGAAAACAAGCTACAAAATGTAATACCTTGGAAAATGCCGTTTAATACTTTTTAATAGCCCTCATTTTCGCTAAATTGATTTATCAACTTTGAATACCGGTACTTTTTAAGACCCCGCGGACACCCTGGTGATGTCATCCTTGTCAGCCATTCAAGAACAGTGCATGGCCGTTACTCCTGAAAAACGCTGACCAGCACTTCCTGTTGCCACACATCTGGTGAGTAACTGCTAACGTCCTCTGGATTTAAGATGACACACTTTTTGTCATGTGAAAAGCTGTATATCGATATATGGGTTTACCTGTGTGGTTACTTTGTAGCCCATGTAGGCGTTCATTCCATCCCCTGTTCAAAAAAAGGGATAAAAGTCAGTCAAAAATAAAGAGACTAAAGATAAAGATTGATTATTAGAATATTACTCAAGTCAAGCTGAATGGATACTTTAGCCCCTCTTTTTGGTTCCTTTGTCTTTTTCACATGACCAAGCACCTCAGAATAAATGTCGCTTGCTTAACGCTTACAGTCCACAAACTAATTACAAGCCTTATTGCAATTCAATAAATAATAAAACAGATCCTAAACATCCTTACCAACTTTTTCAGGATCTTTAACAGACACCAGGATCTCAAATTTGTCTTCCTGTTCTTCTTCTTCTTCCTCTTCTTCCAACTGAAACACATATTGAACATATAGTTAAACACTGACATTGATCTGCTGTCGACAAACATTTATATTGAAGTTCATTTTGAAACGTTGGCTCTGGTGCTAAACCAGTCAGAAAATGCTAATTGAACGACCAACTGAGCTTCTCAGAAGACCGTCCAGAAAACTTGAATTAGCAATTCCTCAAACAGTTTTTAAGTCATTACTTTGTTGCAGTCTATTGGGATTTTCATTCTGAGGTAATATGTGTGTGTACCTCCTCCAGGGCAGCAGCTTGTGGCTTCACCAGGCTGCCAGCAGCTGACAGGGGGGGGGCGGCGGACGTAGACGGTGCGACTGTCACATCTTTCTTTCTCTCTTCCCGCGGACTGTCGAGGGAAAGCTCCACTGTGGCTTCTGTCAGCGAGGGAAGACACAGAAAACAAACCAGCCTTTCGTTATTACATGCACAAGGAGGCATGTGGCACAGTGGAGTAGTGCGTTGGTGTTCGGATCAGGGGAGCACAGGTTCAAACCCCACCCCTGAGACACTTTACCCCCAAATTGCTGTGGACAATCCCCACGGGAGCAATTTGGTGTGAAGTGTCTTGCCCAGGGACACAACGACATGCTGACTGCAGTGGGACTCGAACTTGCTATCCCCTGATTCGAAGTCCAGCACACTACCCACTGAGCCACAGCCTCCCTCATATATGTAGAGAAATGTATATTATTTGCTTCACTTCTAAGGCTGTCTGAAGCAAAATTGTGCTTAAAAAACACATTTAATACCGACATTCCCTCTGAAATCATTCCCTACAGTTTACCCTTTTTGCCTCTAGTTTATTACAGTCCAATCACATGTGCACTAGTGTTGTAAACTGAAGTCACAAGCGTCTCATTTATTGGTCAGTTAAAGGGCAACTCCCACATTTCTACTGAAATCTGAGGACTACTCCAAACATTAAGAGTCGATGAATCGCCTAAAATAATGTACTTGAGTGAGCGCCTTGATAAGGAGGAAGAATGCATGGAAAAGATAAAGCCATATCTCTGGTTCTGCTGCACTGATTTGATTCCTTTGGGTTTATTTGAACTGTCAATGTGATAATGAATAGCATTACAATGCTGAGTCCGTGGAGTGTTCTTTAAATGGGCTGTCATGTGTTTTATAAATCAACCATGAAATGAATCCCTGCTTTGAATATTTCCGTGAACCTTTGTTGCGTGTCATCCTCCGTCTGTCTCCCTTCATTTCCTGTAAGCTTTCTACCGTCCACTAATACAATAACGACAAACATACCTCCAAAAGATAAAGACTGAAAGGACATTATATGACATCTGGTGCTTTCAAAATGTAGTTCTGGTTATGTTTTTATATGCAGTAAATCGCTTATATATAAGTAATTTGATTCTGGAGTGCAGTTATGTGCAACTTTGAATTGAACAGTCCTTATATATCCGGGGGTTAACTATGGAGATTCTGAATGAACTATTCTTTGTGAACACTACATCCAGATAATGTTCCATAAAACCAAACCTAGTGGACCCACCTGCAAATATATCCATCTCCTCTTCAGAGTGGACTCCATTGGTCTTGGAGCTGGCGGCGCTGGTGTTTTTGGCGATGGGCACGGTGGCGACGGCTTCCTCACTGAAGAGATCAGCAGGTTCTGCAGGAGTGCTGTCCTGCAGAGGCCCCCCCATGTTGCTAACATCAGTGGAAGCAGCTTTGGTTTTGACGGGTTTGTCCTTCGGCTCCGTGCTCACAGCTTTCTTTGAGGTGGCACCCAGCGGCTCACCGAACAGATCCTCGTCCGCTTCTCCGAAGAGGCTCTTCTGCTGCTTGGCAGGTTTGGTCTGCCGTGCTTCTGTGAAAAAGTCGCTCCCCTCCTCGTCGAAAAGATCGACTGTTGCCGGTGTGGCTATTTTGGCTTCGGCAGCAGACGCAGCAGCACTAAGGAGGTCAACCAAGGGGTCACTGAACGTTTGGCTGGCAGGCGGTGGCTGTTGTGTTTCAGTGGTTGGGGAATCATCAATGATGACATCAACCAAAGGGTCAGCAAATGTGACGCTGGCAGGCGGTGGCTGTTGTGTTTCTGCGGCGGGCGAAACATCACTGAGAAGGTCTTCCAAAGGGTCAACGAATGCTTGGCTGGCAGGTGGCGGTTGTTCTGTTTCAACGGCTGGCAAATCAGCACCGAGGTTGATAATTGGTACAGTGGAAGTTTCTATTGCTTCCCCTTCCTCATCACTTCCTGTTTTCCCGTCAACATATGGAACTGTAACACTACTGGCCTCTTCAAGCTTATCCGTTGGCGTTTCTTCAACAGTAACATCTGCTTCTACAACTTCCTCTTGCGGGGCTTCGGTTTCACTTCCAAATATGTCTTCAAATTCCTCCGCGGGCTCGTCTAAAGGGATTTCAGTTTTGTCCTCTTCTGCATCTGCAACGGGACTCTCAGCTGTGTCTTCTTCATCCGGAGAGTCGGTGATGTTGTTAGTTAGGTCGACAAAATCATCCGAGGGTTCGCTCATGACTTTGCTGAATGGTGTGTTTGCTGTTTGGATGCTGACGGGCTCGAATAAGGGGCCATCCATGAGGTCAACGGGAGGTTTCGTTAAAACATTACTGGGTTCAATGGTAGGAGACAGTATGCTGTCCATACCAGCCAGTGGAGGGTTGCTCTGGAGAGAAGGAAAAGGGGGGAAAAGATTTCCAATGTTAGAGCATGGGTCTTTTAAACGAGGTACGTGCCCCAAGTACGATCAGAGTTACAGTAGAGGGGCTGCCAAAACAATTTGATAATGTTTCAAAAGTTGTTTTTCTTTTAAATGTTTTAATTTAGTAGCTTCATTTTGCATGCACCATTAAAAGGTATGTTTATACATGGCACATGTTATGTGCAATTCATTTTTATATATATGAAGCGAAGCAGGGGGTCCCTGCTTATTTCCCGGCTAATGGGTCTTCCATGTCTTCTAATTTTTTGTTTGTATGACAAAAAGTTCAAAACCAAAATAAATGCAATAAACACTAAACAGAACGAAGTAGAACATCTTTCAATCGTGTAAAAGATTAACTATATAATAGCTTTTCCTCAGTCAGTTTAATATGCTTTCCATGACTGTCATGAGGATAGAGGAAGGAATACAGTTTCCTCATATCATAAAATGTCTATAAACATTCATAGAAACTGTCCCTCCAGCATCATAGCAGTCTCTGCAAACAAGTTAAATGGTTTTCACTAGGATATTGCACCGACAAAAACTTCCACAAAAGTATCAACGTTAAATAAAACAAATCTTTTTTTAGCTGAATTAGACAGGTTTTTGTTTTTTAGTGATTTTCAGTTGGCAGAGAAAGTGATACATGTGACTTCCTGTTTGTTGTCACATTAGATTTATGAGTGAAAACCAGATGCTTTACAACTCATTTGCATGTTATGTTCCACATCATTCTAAGCTGAGCCTCCAGGTGAAACTTTTGGTAGCACCAGTTATTGTGAAGAATGCACAAAGAAAACAAATACATTTAATTTAAGGCTGAAGGGTGTGTAACGAATAATGCAAATATTCCCTTGAAATAAAAAAATAATGACTTTATAATGGGAGAAAGCAATGTAGTACTGAGTTATCGAATCATGATTCAAACTAAATATTGCTCATAAAGAAAAGAAAGTCAGTTTTTGGTTTATTGGGTACGCTTTACACAACAATCCTGCAAAAACCTAACTTCTTTCTTTTATTGCATTGGCGGAAATAGACTATGTTAAACACAACATCCACAATTTGCTGAGTAAGCTTTTCCATGCAGCGGTGAATCCAGCAGGAAAAAAAAGGGGAGAAAAAAATCAAAGACAGCGACTTTCCAATCTCCTCTCTGAACTTTGACTGTAGGAAAACATCCGGGTTCTGACCATGTGACCACAGCTTACTCCGGGGTTACTCACATGACAGGAGGCTGCTCAGGCCAGCTTTTTAACCTCATTCAAAAAACCCAAAAAAGGGAGAGTGAATTTTAAAATGTATTCATTTCAATAAAATCTAAAAATGAGGACGTTCACAAACCACACAAACCTCATTTCCTGCAGACTGCTCCAATTTAACTGCTTCTTGTTTACCTATGCATGGCCTCAAAGTATGCACATCCAAAATGTTTAAGATGATAGCCTACCTTCAGATTTCAGTGTAAATTAACCGGAAATATGGCCGATTTCTGCACAGAAAACTAGGAACACAGGCTTTAATTTGTGTCATCTGGTTACCCAATTGACCTCATTAAAATCTCAGCCAGCAAGTCCTCCACATTGCAACTTTCAGGAATAAATCAATACCAAAATGGGCGTTTGAAACAGTGTCAAAGATCAGCAAAGGCTGTTTTAAAAAGTCAGAAATTGTGATGGAAGGTGGATTTTTCTGCCTCCTCTCGAAACACTCCTTTGATAATTACAGTAAAGCCTGTAGGTCTACAATTGTACGACACAACAGTTACTAATGTTAACATGATTTGATTACCGTTTCCCCAATGCTAAAAACAAGCTCAATGTTTGTCTTCACCTAACAAAACTTTTGCTAAAAAGCGCCTTATTAGCCGTATCTGCTGACGTTAGCTCACCATTATTTTGGCAGTAAATGACAGTAAAAGCTAAATATTCTTAAGGCATTAGATGTCAGTAAAAGCTAACTATTCTTATGGCAGTAAATGTCAGTAAAAGCGTACTATTCTTATGGCAGTTATTGGCAATTAAAGCTAACTATTCTTATGGCAGTTAACATCAGTTGTTAGCCACATCAGATTAGCTTAGCTTAAAATCAAGCAGACATACTGTGCTCATGAAGAGATCGTCCCCGTCGTCTTCATCACTGTCTCGGCCTCCAACTTCTTCGGTTTCCAGCACATCTTGGTCCTCGGAGTCGGGAAACGGAGGAGGACTACGCTCCGAGCTGGTCGCCATCTTCAAATCTTCTTAAAACAAACACAAGGGGAGGTCCGTCCACAGCTCCCCTTCTTCTGCTCCTTTTAGCGGCTAACGTCAACTCCGCTGCTACAGCTAAAACTGTGTCAGTTCTCCTGAAGACAGTACAACTAAAAGCAGGGAAGGAGGAGTGATTGGAGGGCGGCTTCACGACGTGCAGACCTCCGCTCTCTGTTTTACTTCCTGGTCCTCCTCTTCTGGTCAGGTTAGCTCCAACGTTAGCTTCACTGAGAGGCTTGGCAGTCATGAGACAGATGCAGTAGCGGTGTACACAGCACCATGGACCTGGGCAGGAGTTGATCTCAAAGGTGTGTGGAAGCGGATCTGCTCAAAGGTCATATTGGGGACGTCTGAGTGTTTTGGGGGTGATGCCTCGTCACGACGTGGAGGCGAGGGAGCCGCTTCTCACCAGGGAACGCCTGAAGCCAAATGAGCTGGAATCCGATGAAGGTACAGTGTGACTTTCTGTATTGTGTTATTTCACCTGCTAAATGCACTTTTTCAGGAGTGAGTGTTTTAGATCAGCTAGAAATGCATGATCAAAAACCAGATAGCACTTGTTTTCACATTTAGAGTGTACTCTTTAGAAATGCCTGGTTCTCACAGGACTGCGACAAAGCTTCAAACATGTGATTATCCTATTGATTAGTTGCTGTGTAGATTTAACTACCCACCACACTATACCATATGCAAGTGAAAATATATACAAACTATATTATTAGAATACTATGTCTTAAACAGAGGTGTTAAATAACTAAGTATTTACCGTAGGTTAAGTACTGTACCTAAGTACAATGCTGAGGGACTTTACTTGAGTGTTTACATGTTTTGTTACTTTGAACTAAATTGTGTACTTTTACCCCACTATATTTATTTAATAACTTTTTTTTAGTTACACCTTGAGTACATCCAGCTTTAATAACACTGTAATAATGCATCAATAATTATAATCGAAACATAATAATATATTATTCTGAAATGAGCCATTCTGTATAATGAATAGTTTTAGTTTTGGTTCTTTAAGTATATGTTGACGCTAACACTTTTACTTGAGGAACATTTTGATTGTCGGACTTGTTCCTACACTCTTGGACTTCTACTTTTACTTAAGTACAACATATGGGTACTTCTCTCACCTCTGGTCTTAAATAACAAACATAAACTCACTATCTCTATTCAAAATCAAAAGGCTACCAGAGGCCCAATAAACATATGATATTGGGGAGACTGGGGACAGTTGCAACAAGTCTTATTCTTCCATCAGAAACATGTTAACGATACTCATACTGTAGTAGATGCTCCGTTAGATCCTACTTCCACCAAAAAACAACACACATTTATTGGTTTCATGACTGACAGGACTGGGGTCAGTTGAAAAAAACATGTTGCAACTTGCTGTATATCATAACAGACAACAAGCTTTTGTAAACATATTGTAATTGTACCCAGGGTTATTCTATTTAAAATATTTAAGTTGAATGTATAAATACTAGTTTAGTCCTGACCAAATAGTCTCTGAGTAAGCGAGAGAAATGCGCAAAGTGTTGCAACAGTCTCCCTTTATATAATATAAGACACATCATTAATACACATTTTAGCACCAACAAAATGGGGGGCTAAAGCTCTCGTGACCTCTTAAATATCTGTTTAAGCTGACATCTTTGTTTCACTTCACTGTTTGTGTGTTTTTTGCTGATTTTATTTTAGGTGAAATCATTTTCGACAGGAGTTCATCAAACCTCCCACGTGACGCTGGTGAGAGTTCAGAGAGAAGATTAACATATGAGGAAGCAGTAGAGGAAGCAGGTAATAACATCATAATATCAACTGGTAAATACCTTTTTGATCCTTTTATATAGGTTTAAATAGGAGGATTACATGATTATAAGATGGAAAATACATCATACACAATCTAAAAAAGGACGGCAAAACAATAAATAATAATATTTCTTAACAGTTTCTGACTTAATAGATTTTGACAGCATCACTAAACCATACATGTGATACTGAGGTGTGTGTTGACGGTAATGGACAAAGCAGCAGCTGCAGACAGCATTACCGTTAATATGGTGCGTTAACTGATAACGTTTCTTTGTTTATTCACTCATTGTTCTGCTTTTGCTCTCAGGGTTTGGGTTGTTCCACTGGCTGCTGTTGGTGGTATGTGGTTGGGCCAATGCCAGCGATGCCGTGGAGATTCTCTGTGTGTCTTTCCTTCTGCCGACGGCGCGCTGCGATCTGCTGCTCAGCTCCTCAGACATGGGCCTGCTCACTGCCAGCATCTTCCTCGGTGAATAACAATCATTTAATAAATATGTTACCACGACTGAGCAACTATTCTCCGGTTTCAGATCCTCAAATGAGGCTTTGCTGCTCAACAAGTTTTAAACAAACAGGAAAAACAACCTTTTCAATTATTCACAAAAAATGTAAGTAAACAAACAACGTATTTGTCCTAGCAGTGTTACACATGTATGAAAGACTTTAATCAAATAAATGGCCGGATGATAATGGACACCCTTACAATCACAATACATCAATACAGGTTGTACGTATTCACAGCAATGCTAAGAGCTAAATGCTAATGTTGGTATAACATTTTTGTTTTCTAGGAATGATGGTGGGGGGCTACATGTGGGGGTACCTGGCTGACCAGAAGGGGCGGCGCCGGGTCCTGGTTGTGTCCCTCACAGTGAACGGGGTGTTTGGAAGTCTGGCCAGCGTGGCCCCCTGGTTCTGGCTCTTCCTGCTGCTGCGGTTAATCAGCGGCATCGGGTGAGCACGGGATTTGTATTGTGTCTCCTGGAGTTATATAGCTGAAGGTAACACACGCAATGAAGTATGTTTCAGTGCTCAGACAGAACATACTGCAGCCGCCGGGGTCATAGCTTGTATCCCTGTAACACCTTCATGTTCCTTTTAGCAACAACATTACACAAAAGATTTATATTACCTTAGTTGTGCCCTCATTTAGCCAGTGTAGCATGAATAAACAGTCACTAAAATGAATTGTGTTTTCCTTCCCTTCTGCAGTGTCGGCGGGTCCATCCCTGTCATCTTCTCCTACTTCTCTGAGTTCATGCCCAGACGGAGGAGAGGTGCGATGATCAGCGCTCTGGCCACCTTTTGGATGGCAGGCAACATCCTGGCTGCAGGTGGGAAAACTCATAAATAAAACCATATCAAGGCTCAATGTTACCAACGCTGGTGTTATGAGAAACCTAAGTCACATGCTAAGCAAATTATTACACATTTGATATACCTACTTCAAAAAGGTAAAGACTTATTCCCTTTGGGGCGACAGTATCTAAATAATGAAAAGTGTAGACCTGTGTGTTCAATAGTTCCTCATCTTGTACCTGCAGGTCTGGCCTGGTTAGTGATCCCAAGGACCTGGGCTCATTTCTCTCTGGGGTTTCTGGACTTCCAGAGCTGGAGACTGTTTGTGGTTCTCTGCTCTGTTCCCAGCCTCACATCAGCCCTGATGTTCAGGCTGCTCATGCCTGAAAGCCCCAAGTTCCTCATGGAGGTATTTAAATGCCGGATTAGATATCATGATTGCAGCCTGCTTTTTTTTATTCCCAGCAGACATTTAGATTTTTGTTCTGTCTTTTCCAGGCTGGCCAGGAGAAAGAGGCGCTCCATGTCTTCCAGGTGATGTTTAAGCTGAACATTCGGGGAACGGGAAAGTCTTTACCGGTAAGAACCTAATTATATTCATATACCGTATATATCTCTATGATTTGTTATCATTGTTTTGGGGCACAATGTGTGTAGCTTAAAAACACTCTGATAAATTGTAAAGTCTAAAGTACAAATAAACTTATATTTGAGCCAAAGAAAAATTAGAAAAGCAAAAGGTGAAATGAAACGGGAAGTTATATTTCAAGTTAATGGGAGTTTCTTTTATTATTATTATTATTACTTCCTTGATTTTACAGTACAGTAATCTACTCTAAGTGTGACCGCTTTCATTTGAAACTCTTGAAGGAATTTGGTTTATGCATCAACTCCAAGAAAAGATCTGAACAGGAGGAGACCGGACCCCACGGTTCACAACGAGAGAGACTTTGTTGTATTGTGAAAAAGGTAATGTCACACAAACAGACAAGCTCCACATCCAGATTGTTCGAGGTTTTCCGAGTAAAGTGTGTAAAAGCAAATGTTTACGTTGCCCGTAGACACTGTCTATCACTGTTTAAACTGTGTCCTAGCTTGACCTGAACTATCATGGTTGGATTAACCTGCAATGCTTGCTTCCTCTAAAACTGCCTGGAACCAGGTTTAGGGTTTCAGCTCACTATTATGTGAATTTATTTGCAAATTGAATGAAAAAGATAACTGCTGCGTAGTTCATTGACTTATTAATACATTGTCTGTTCAGCAGCTATGAAGGTTTAGTGAGTTAACACAATCATTTAGGAAAAACTGGACTTGGACATTAAGCGTCTCCTTAAGATTAAGCAATGGACGGATCATATGGACCTCAGTGTTGGCTTCTTTTAGCTTTACATATTTTAAATAGAATTGGCAGACAACCATTTGACACACGGTCAGACTGGGCAGTTGTCCATTAGATTTCAACTTGATATAATCGTTTTTTCCTCGATTGCCATTTTTATTTAAAATAGTTTATGTGTTTAATTTGCAGGCCGTGATGCCCATCAAGCTGATGTTTAACGGTTCGCTCAGATCCAGGAGTTTCGCTCTGCTCATCATCTTCTACTGCATCTCCTTTGGGTGAGACGTCCAATCTGATGGCCTGCATGTAAACTAAAGAGTATCTGTAGTGTAGCTGGAGGTCTCCTTCAGACTGCATGTTGTCAGGGACGTGTGCAAAGTTCAGGGCTTGTATTTATCATGTGTGTTTCAACACTGCTGATGTGATAAATCTACGGCAGGCGGCTGCGCTGTAGGAGATAACCATTGCAGAGATTATCTTCAACAACCAGGAGTCTGCAAAAACTGCCAAAAAAATGTTAATTTTATGAAACGTTTTACTAAACTACTGCACTCTCAGTTTAGGACTTGTACATTTTATGGTTGATTTATATTTGCACACACCAGAGTGCATACAAATCAGTATATAACAAGGAATGTGACAGGAGAGGTCAGGAGGCCACGGCCTAATCTATGGACCTCATCTGTGTGTGTGTGTGTGTGTGTGTGTGTGTGTGTGTGTGTGTGTGTGTGTGTGTGTGTGTGTGTGTGTGTGTGTGTGTGTGTGTGTGTGTGTGTGTGTGTGAGAGAGAGAGAGAGTGTGCATGTGTGTGTGTGTGTCTGCCTGTCTGTCTGTCTGTCTGTCTGTCTGTCTGTCTG